TAGCGTAACATCATTGATGCATGTGATCAATTGTACTCCTTAGTTCTACTTTTTAATTGTAACAATCCATTTTTATCGCTTTCTTACGCACAAGTTTAGCCATTAATAATTTTAATTCCTTATTAGTAAAAAATTAAAAATACTGATTTTGAAAATTTAAAATGATAGGGATTTAAATATATTTTAAAAAAATTGAGGTGAAATTGTTTGATCCGTATCATTTAAAATGACAAGGATTTAAATATATATTTTTTAAAAATCAGACTGAGTTAGAGTAATCAGAATTGAAACTCATTCCATTGAATTTTGAACTCGAAACTTCCCATAAAGGAGAGTGAGTCACCTGCCATTAAAAATAACATTCCCAACCATGTGAGAGTATACTAAGAGCCCATGGTCCTTATTATTTTTGGCCAATGGTCCTGATTAATTTTGTCTCTTTGTCTCTCGTGACTAGATACATTTTTCAAGTCATTCTCATATGACAATATATTACTCCAAAGCACTATGTCCTAAGCTATATATGCATGATATCCGCCGAATTGTTTTTTGAGTTAATGCTTTGGACTAAGCATTTATACTAATATGATTACAAATGGACCGTTAGATCGATTTCCTTTAGATGAAACTGTAATGTGTATTAGGTGAAATTGAAATGTGCAGCACAAAGAGTACGAATAAGTACGATTTAGTGACATTATGTGAAACTGAATTGTGCATTAGGTGAAATTGAAATGTGCACTAAGTACGTGAAATTGAAATGTGCAGAATAAAACGTATGATGTGATGTTAGTTTAAATTTTTATTTTTCACATTTCACATTTCCTTAAGAATAGTGTTCAAACGTTTTTTTTTTATTTTGACCATCCATGCTGGAAACTTCCTTATACGGAGTATAATTTTGGATTATTAAATTACTTTCATTTAAAAGTTTCTTATTTGTTTTATAAAAGAGCTTCTTATTTTTTCCTCAAAAAATAAAGCTTCTTATTTGATATTTACGTAGTGCTACAATAATATATACGAGTGTAATATATTAGCTTAATTAGCTAAGTAGCTAACATGAGATTTTGGGAATGCACTTTACTTATTTAGTATATGCAAAACTATTTACAATAGAGTGTTTATATACTTGGTATTAAAACAACGAAGATGGCGAAAAAGTGAAAGGCAATATCCATTATTTGAATGAACTTCATATACAATAGTTCAAATTAGTAAACTGCCGGTTAATTAATTATTGACCTTATTTTGGTCAAGGGACTCCATGAGGACCACACATTTTCCATGAAATAGTTTGATTACGGGTCAATTTTTACTACTCCATATATCTTATTTTATGGGGAAAAAATTTAATAATCAGTTTAATATTTAAAGTCAGGACGAATGGCAACAAGCCTTCAACTAAGAATGGTATAAAGTCATCACATGATTGATATGGAGTACTCCTCATTATTAATCACAAAATACCGTTTAAAGAATAACTTGTACTTCAACTTCTAATTTTATCGATCAAAGTAACATGTGCAGACACGGCATTGATTTCCGAGGCATGCACCTTAATTAGCTGGTTTTCTTTCCTCTTTTTAATATAATAAAGCTACATCATATTACCGAGAATTAGATAAAATCAGCAGAATATTAGGCTACCCTCAAAATTTATCAATAATAGCGTAGCAAAAAAATTCGAAGCCTAAGGATTTGTTGATTCACATAAAAATAGGAGCGCAAAATAATTGCAAACAAGAGCTGAGATTCATTCAACCATGTAAATTGACAATGATATTATAAATTGAACACAAAATTTAACAATGAAATTGAGAACATATATACGGAGCACAAAAAGAAGACAGCACAATTAAACAGCTAGCTAGGCGATCTCTTAAGCTAGTAATTAATTATTCTACACTACATCCCCCGCCACCAAAGCTTCGCCATCAACCTGCTAGCTACCTTCATCATATGATCGATCAGCTAGTGAGACAGTCGAACGAGCACTTGGACTTTGCACTAGAGAACCGCCCACCACCAATGGGCCCCTCATATGATAATAAGCTGCTAGTAGTGTTGCTTTTGGTGTTGACACTCATCATTTGATCAGCTTTCATCGTCTTTAACCTAGTACACCTGACGCAAACAAAACTGCACACCAAAAATATAGTCAAAACCTTGATCAGCATAAATTGCATGTTTTTTTTTTCGAAAAACAAAGATAAATTGCATGTTGCTAAAAGTGTGTAAGCAGCGTAGCATCATTTATGCATGTGATTAGTTTAAGAGAGCTGCTTGGGTACCCCAAAGTGTACACCGTCTGTGTACACAGACATTTGGGCAGAAAGTTCTGCCCTCTTTCAAACGAACTGCCTCTATACATAGACAATTCATGGAAGTGGGTACAAATTGGGGTATAATAATATAATTTGGGGTACCTATAGAAATAATAGAATTTTTGTTAGTTTAATATGGTAGGCTGGTAGCTGAGGTTCAGTTCACGTGCACATGCAATCGGATTCTAAATTTGTAAGTACGTCACTCTGAACTTTATGCCTCGGAAACCACATCGCATGCATCCGATTATATATACGGAAGGTTTGTCGTCCTCATGGAGTCACGGGCCAGTTTAGTGACAAATTAAGTAAATTTTATGAGAAATAGTTTTATTTCATTTTTTTTCAAAATAAATACTCCTATAAAATTAAAAAATACACATTTCCATGTCAAAAAAATAGAAACATCATTAAAGAGTTTTTTCTTTTACTTTTTTGGTTAATAAAAGAATGGGCTGAAGTAAAATTTGGTTATTTATTATAAAAAAATACTAGACCAAACCAAATTTAAACAAACCAATTCCTATGACTTAGCTTGATCAGTTAAACACAACAAAACAATTTACTTCAGACCAAATTTATATAGACCAATTCCTACAAGATTTTACTTAAACGCACCCAACCAGTTCATATCAGATCCAAAAATACCTGAAAAGTTCAAGATCTATTTGTAACACACTCACTTGTCACAACGTAGTGAATAGTGATGAAGCACAATATGTGACTCCAGTTTCATAAAGTGGCACTCGCACATGAATTTTCCTATGAGGCTTTGAATGGGAACTGGACCACCGTTTATCTTGTGAGATGTTCGCAGAGCAAAAAACAAGTCGCACACACATGTTGGTGGCACTTGAAACAAAAGCAGCAATCGGAAAAGGAAACCAAAGTACGTGGTCCAATTTGATTCCCTTTCTTTTGAAAAGTGTCCCTTTCCAGCAAATGAAATAGAAGGCCCCACTAATCATAAAGTCGGCGGCCACCATTAGATAGAGCATCCACAATGGTGGTGAATTTTGACCCCTATCTCTCTCTTCCACATCACTTTTCTCCAAAAACTTAATCCCCTTTAACCTATCACAATAATTTGGGATAAGGGTCAGATAGGGCCTCGAACTCGAAAAAAAATGTCAAATAAGGTCATATTTCGGATGCTCTGTCTGGCCGACGCCATTTGGGGCGGTTCCCGATGGAATTTTTTGATGAAATTTTTTGAACATCTTCCTCATTAAGTCTAGTTTACCCATACCAAATTTCAGCTAAAAACTCAACCGGGAAGGTAGTCAAATGAATTTTTGAAGATAACTGTGAAGTTAAACAACGCCGTACATTTCGGAAAATTATTTGACTACCTTCCCGGTTGAATTTTTAGCTGAAATTTGGTATGGGTAAACTAGACTTAATGAGGAAGATGCTCAAAAAAATTCATCAAAAAATTCCATCGGGAACCGCCCCAAATGGCGTCGGCCAGACAGAGCATCCGAAATATGACCTTATTTGACATTTTTTTTCGAGTTCGAGGCCCTATCTGACCCAATAATTTCTCCCCACTATGGTGACCTAGGTCACATTTTAATGTTTACACTCTCTCTCCTTATTTTAATATATCTCACCTTTATTAATTTATTTGAGACATTTTCTTTTGGACTGTTTTTCAGCCTCAGACCAAACCTGACCAGATCAGACAGACCTGACCTGACTTCTATAATTATAAAATACACAGAGACTAGACGTTTACTATACCAGTTCAGACAGATCAGATCAAACCAGACCAGACCATCTAAACAGATAAAACCAGATGCAAGAGGGAAAGAAGTGCTAAATTTCGAAGTGAGTAAACATATCCTTCATTGGTGTCTATTTATAGATGGGAAAAAATCTGATTTTTTTATATAACTTTTTTTTGTAAAATAAATTAATTTAATTCATAAAATATTAAATTAAAAGGTTGGTGGGATTTGTGGCTACAAATGTGGGAGAAGAAATCTCCCCTTCATCCACGCAATACACCACCTCGGCAAACAAAAAAAGCCAACCTTGGACTTGCTAACCTTCCATAGTGGGGGTCAACTCCCACCACTTTGTTATTTTGATACTTGACCTATGTTGCACCGATACTTCACTTCGATGTCGTATCCGCGTATCCGATACGTATCCGTATCCGATACTCACCGATATCCGTCCTGTACGTATTGGGTCCGTATCCGTAATTTAATAAAAGTATCGGACTTAGTTTTAAAAATACCGATACTTCCGATACCCGTATCCGTGAACCGATACGCGTATCTGAACCTATAACCCTTCATTTTATACACGACATGACGAAAATTTAGTAGCCAACCAAGCGACCACAACATGTGGAACATTGATAAAGATGGTTTCGGGAGTATGAAAAATAATGGAATACTATAATTTGACATTTCATTGCTTGATGATATTTAATTGAAACAAGACTTGGATGTAAATGCAAATAGAGAACAAAAAAAAATATTTGAATTTAAATCAAAATGTCAATACTTTAGTTTTTTAGACTAATCTTTGAAACTTTATTATAATAGTTAATTTTTTGTACTATTATTATTATTTTATTTATGAACCCCTGAATTATATATATTTGCAAATTATACCCTATATTTTTATTATTTATAAATATACCCCCGTACCCGTATCCTATAATTTTTGAAAGTGTCGTATCGCCGTACCCGTATCCGCGTATCCGCGTATCGGCGTATCCGTATCCGTGCAACATAGTACTTGACCACCTGGGTGCTCTTATAGCATACAATCTGATTTACGCGGCTCAAAGAGTACATACAATCTGTAACGACTATTTTATTACGTACTTCAAGCATACAATCTGATTTTTTAATTAGCATATGTTGTTAAAAGTGTGTAAGCAGCGTAACATCATTCGTGCATGTGATCAATTGTACTCCTTAGTTCTTTGTACTAGAGAACCGCCCACCACCAAAGCTTCGCCATCAACCTAGCTACCTTCATCATATGATCGATCAGCTAGTGAGACAGTCGAACGAGCACTTGGACTTTGCACTAGAGAACCGCCCACCACCAGTGGGCCCCTCATCGATAATAAGCTGCTAGTAGTGTTGCTTTTGGTGTTGACACTCATCATTTGATCAGCTTTCATCGTCTTTAACCTAGTACACCTGACGCAAACAAAACTGCACACCAAAAATATAGTAAAATACTCCTAGTGATCAGCCTTGATAATACTCCTAGTGAGTAGTGACGACTCCGGAATCCGTTTGACCTAGTCTGACTGTCTAAGACCATAATCAGTGTAAATTGGCCCGTGAACTACACAATAATTCACGTGAATTGAAGCTGGCTTTTACTATCCTAAAGTAACTAATCACGTGAAAAGTTACGCCATTCTGAAACATTTTTTTGTTTTTTTTTTGTAATTGATTCGGATGAAGCTTTTCCAAATGCAGCTTTTTGCCTTTCTTTTGTAATGGATTCGGATGAGGCTTTTCCAAATGAAGCTATTCCAAATAAAGTTTTTTAGTTTAACCATGAAATTGATAAGTAAATTTATTTAATTAATACGAAGTATATATATTTAGTAATTTAGAGAGAATGCTTCAAAAACAAATAGAGAGAATTATTTCAGTTTTGTAACTTTCGGCTCTATGTGTTATTAGTTCAACTTTATTCGGTTGCAAATTTGGTTCTGTAACTAATAAATAATGCAATTTTAGAAATTTTCCATCGGAAAATACATTTTACAATAAAGTCTTTTATTAAATAGAACAGGGTTTCGGAATATACCCTTGTTCTATTTTTTAGAACAAATACCCCTAAAGTATTTGTGAAAGTGCATATATACCCCTGAAATTTTTAAAAGATACAAATATACTTCTCATATTCTTATAAAGTAGTAAATATACCTTATTAATTTTAAATTTATAAAATAAATTTTAGAAAACACCAAATATTGAAAAGTAACTACATAGTGACTCTAAATCACTCTGCCTGCAAGGATTGCTGAAATACTTCTTACAGTTATAAGAAGTACTAATTATGCATTTTCTTCACTAATGGTTGTTTGAATTATTTGAATATTTTATTTTCTTTTACTAATAATATTTAGATGTCCATATGTTCATTTAGATTTCCATAATATAAAACTAATAAAAGTCACCAACCTACTTATTGTGTTGATGTAGTTATTTCAGTTTATAAAAAGAAGCTAGATGCTCTTCTCTGGCTTTTCCTTTAATCTGTCTAATTTAATTTCAATCTCCATTCAGGTTTCATGCAATATATTGCTTGGATAATATCCACCCATCCACCAAGGCAACATTTTGAGTTCAAGTATGAAATTATATTCATTAATTAGGTAAATCTTTTATCTGACATTTCAAATTAACATTACACTTGGTTTTATGATGTGTTTTAGTGGTTTTTAAGTGATAATTTCAAGTTGGTGTCCAAGATGATTTTCTCAAGTAGCTGTTGTTTGTCTTTTGAATTCTTTTATTCTAATTTTATTGACCATTTTGTCTAATAACATTCTCTTAGCTACTTTCTGGATTAGACTGTGAAGAATTTTTATTTATATTGGTTCAGCTTATCCAACCGTTGACCTTAACATGTTGCTGTTAGTTTTGACCACTAATTTTAGAACGGATGTTTATTTTCATGGACCTGGATCACTTTCAACATTATAAGTATGTGATTTAATTAGGTCTGGAAGTTACATTCCACAAATAAAAATCGTCTTTGTCATGTATGTGATCTATAATATTTATTATAGAGGTAATCATGTATTGCCCGTGTTGCTGATTTAAATTTAGGAAACCTAAGCTGTTAATCAGTCAACATTCATACTCTTACTTAACTTTGATGGATGATAACAGCAATGTTGGGTTAACACTGGCTCAAAATAATTTAATATGCAATGTGCATATTTACTCAACTTTCATATTTAAACAATAGGTACATATAAATTCTAAATAATACTTGAAAATTATAAGTATCAGGTTGCTGGCTTTTGCCATGTTTAGATGTTGCTAAAAAAATTCCATGATTAGTTCAATTCTTATTTTGAGAAGTTGGGCATAATTCTGGGTTAAAAGATTAGTCCTACCCTTATTAGTTGTTTTTTGTCAAGATTAGTTCCATTCTTAGTTTGGATCCTTGGGAAGTTGGTCTTATCTGACTTGCTCTAAAGATAAATCCTTGAAGGAGGCTATCAAAGAGAAGGAAACATATTTCAATTTGACTGCCTTTATGAGAAACTATATACACTCTGGCTGATTATAATACATTTACTGAGATTCCTGGTGGTATAATTATTGTAGCCGCTGATTTTTTATGAGACGCTAATGTTTGTGCGGTATTCATTTGTGAATATCTCAGTATCTAACATCCTGGATAGAAAATCGAGAGATGGATGACTGATCTAGCCTGATTTGCGTTCAAGAACTCTGTCTTTGTTATATATTGACTTGATGTAATATAACCAAAAATACACTTCCTGAGCATGTATGGGTTACATACTTGCATCTTAGTTATTTGGATGTAAATCATGGATCTGCAATTATTATTAGCTTTGTATAGGGGAACAACAACGTAGTTACTTCAATAATTCCCTTGATTGTTGATACGTAGTACATTACTAATGTGACCCTGTTTCATTTACTAATGTGTTCACCTTTTCAAACTATTAAGAGCCTATTTGGTAACTGTTTTTTTTCGGCTTATCAGCCAAATTTTCACCAAACATGTAACTTTCGATTTTGTGCGTTGAATTGTGTAATAATAAGAAATAATAAGATTGAAGTTATTTTTATGGTTGTATTGGCTGAAATTACTACAAATGACCATCTTAGTTATTTTTACATGTAATTTTTCATTATTTTATCAATACAATATATTTCCAATATTTTTTTCCCATAAATTAGCAAAATCATTGAACTTAACCACTTCTGTCAGAATTTCATACATTTCAACATAGTCGATTTTACCAAGCGGGAACTAAATGTTATCAAAACTATTTAACTTTGTGTGAAATAGAAGGGAAATTTGAGAAAGAAAAAATGAGTGTGTTTGGGCATTTTTTTCACAAAAGTTTATGCTCACGTTTTCTCAAAATTAATATTTCCTCTGCTCCATAGAAAGATTCTCACTTTCATTTAATTTGGATGTTACGTATAAAGTTTTCATTTCTATTTTAGGAAATAAATAACAATCTTGAATGACAAATTAATCATTAAATACTAAATACTAAAAATATACTCCGTAACATTTATAACGTCACAGTTGTCGACATTAAATATATTATTTTATTTACCTATTTTTTATTTCTCAAAAATCAAAATATAACCATGTCGTTTTACCACGAAAACCTTTCAACGGGATGGAGGTAGTAACATTTAAAAAATAATGAATGACCGGACAACAACTGCTAAACCTCTTTAACATTTTGTAATGGGGTGTAACTATTTATGATTTCAAAATAGGGTGTGGGTTTGAATACAAAAGCCTAAAATAGGATCAAACTCAAATTTCAAGTGAAGTACCATAAATTGAAACATTTTAGATTAGTTTGGAGATTGATCTGTTTTACTAAATAGTTGAAGACCAGTGGTACACACAAAGAAGGGCACGTGGTGGCTACCACCCCCAATTTTTTTCTACTAAGAATATGTAATTACTCTAAAGTTTTACTTAGTAATATATACGGAGTATATGTATTAGTATGCATTTATTTTACACTACTCCCTTCTATCTGGAATTTTTGCATCTGCCTATGGTTGAAGTTACAAAACCAATTGTTACAAAACCACTCTCCAGAATTTTTCAATACCATTAAATGCTCCGGTATGCCAAACCATGAGTTGAATCTGAAAAGAGAGTGCACCTGTGATGTTAATGAGAAATATTGACCATTCCGTCGGATTGTGCAATGCCACTTTCCTTATAGAGACTAAACATGGAACTCATATTCTCGAGGCTTAGATGATGTCTGGAACAGATGCAGGAAAAAAATTGTTATTCTGAAGCTAAGCTTGACTTCACTCGCCCTAAAGCTATCATTCACCTTTCAGGGACGGTTGGTGTTATCTTATGTCGTCCGGTTTTCACCCATGGACAACTTTACGTCGCGGTGTCAAGAGTGACGTCCACGTCTGGGTTGCAGTTTGTTATATGTGATGAAGATGGAAAACTACCAATAAGACTTTAAATATGGTTTACAAGGAACTGAAGGAAGTATATAATAATTTGTAAAAAAAAATTATCTTCATTTACTTATGTTAGAAATAATATATACATTGATCTATATTTATGACAACATTTCTTTATGTGATCAAAGTGTTTATTACTTACTAATTGCATCCCGTGCGAAGCACGGGTGAAAATCTAGTACCCCTAAATGAATTCTACATAGTGTAACGGACAAGAAGATGCAGGTTCCTTTTTTTAATCGTATAGTGCTATTAGGCTGGTTGCAATCTGATTTCCCAGAATCAAGTAGGAGATTTGTATTAATTATAAGATCTTGTACATAATTACTCTTTCCTTTATTAAGTTAGCTTAAGCCTATAAATTGTATTTTAGCTGTTGTATTTACATTTGATCAATAAAACTCTATTCTTCAAGTGTAAAACTATGTAGCACGGAAACTCTCGGGAAAGAGTACGTTTCCTATTTCGGAAACTCTTTGGAAACACTCCAAATAAGCTTTTTCTTGAGAAAAAGTTGACGTTTTCCGTTTCCCGTTTCCTTATGATTTTCACGTTTCCGTGCAACATAGCCTAAAAATGATATTTTTGCTAGTTTATATTTACTTTAGGTTTTGTATAAGATTGTGTTGTTCCAATTAGTTAGATTTCTTCTCCATTATTTTGCTACAGGAAAATACAAAAAGAGCTCATTCTTCGATTGGTACAGTTAGAAGACCTTGTATTCACTATGGATGTAATGGTTAGGGGCAGCTTCTTGGGAAATGTCTTTTTGGGTAGGGGCAGCTTTTGAGTGGGAGGTAAATAGGTGGTATTCATAATCTAGAAGACAGCTTAACAACCCTCTTTGCTTTGGTATATAAATAACTAATACCACAGTTATATTGGAGTACAAAAAGAGATTATCCAATCACAAAAACATTCCCATTTTGGGCCTTAAAAATAGAGGCAGGCCCCAACAAAGTCTTGATAATACAGAGCTTATCATAAAGGTGATAAATGTAAGTCGTACCTTATAAAAACGCTTGCTCTCATATGATGATGTTTTTTCAGCCTCTTGGACTAGCTTTACTTTTTTCCTTCTTTGTAGGATGCTATTACTTAAAGGATGACATCTATTGAGAAGATGGCTGTAATGGACGTCCTTTGCAGTTTGTTATATGTGATGAAGATGGAAAACTACCAATAAGACTTTAAATATGGTTTACAAGGAACTGAAGGAAGTATATAATAATTTGTAAAAAAAAATTATCTTCATTTACTTATGTTAGAAATAATATATACATTGATCTATATTTATGACAACATTTCTTTATGTGATCAAAGTGTTTATTACTTACTAATTGCATCCCGTGCGAAGCACGGGTGAAAATCTAGTACCCCTAAATGAATTCTACATAGTGTAACGGACAAGAAGATGCAGGTTCCTTTTTTTAATCGTATAGTGCTATTAGGCTGGTTGCAATCTGATTTCCCAGAATCAAGTAGGAGATTTGTATTAATTATAAGATCTTGTACATAATTACTCTTTCCTTTATTAAGTTAGCTTAAGCCTATAAATTGTATTTTAGCTGTTGTATTTACATTTGATCAATAAAACTCTATTCTTCAAGTGTAAAACTATGTAGCACGGAAACTCTCGGGAAAGAGTACGTTTCCTATTTCGGAAACTCTTTGGAAACACTCCAAATAAGCTTTTTCTTGAGAAAAAGTTGACGTTTTCCGTTTCCCGTTTCCTTATGATTTTCACGTTTCCGTGCAACATAGCCTAAAAATGATATTTTTGCTAGTTTATATTTACTTTAGGTTTTGTATAAGATTGTGTTGTTCCAATTAGTTAGATTTCTTCTCCATTATTTTGCTACAGGAAAATACAAAAAGAGCTCATTCTTCGATTGGTACAGTTAGAAGACCTTGTATTCACTATGGATGTAATGGTTAGGGGCAGCTTCTTGGGAAATGTCTTTTTGGGTAGGGGCAGCTTTTGAGTGGGAGGTAAATAGGTGGTATTCATAATCTAGAAGACAGCTTAACAACCCTCTTTGCTTTGGTATATAAATAACTAATACCACAGTTATATTGGAGTACAAAAAGAGATTATCCAATCACAAAAACATTCCCATTTTGGGCCTTAAAAATAGAGGCAGGCCCCAACAAAGTCTTGATAATACAGAGCTTATCATAAAGGTGATAAATGTAAGTCGTACCTTATAAAAACGCTTGCTCTCATATGATGATGTTTTTTCAGCCTCTTGGACTAGCTTTACTTTTTTCCTTCTTTGTAGGATGCTATTACTTAAAGGATGACATCTATTGAGAAGATGGCTGTAATGGACGTCCTTTGCAGTGACAAGACAGGAACTGTGACCTTGAACAAGCTCACAGTCAACAAGAATCTTAATGCTCATCTTAAATAACACAATAATTTTCATGAATACGCACGTGCTGCCATTCAAGAAGTCCATTTCCTGCCTTTCAATCCAACGGACAAACAAGCAACTCTTACCTATATTGATGGTCAAGGAAAACTGCATAGGGTCAGCACTCAGCAATGGGGCACCAAAGCAGGTATGACTTTGGATTGTTTTTTGATATATTAGCAGTTCTAATTGGTAATCTACTTTTTAATTTGTAATCTAATTAGTTTTCTGTTTATGGATTGTAGATGAAGCATGTGCTCTCTGATTTTTTTAGTAGGAGGTTTCTGTAAGTTGTTTTACAAATTAGCTTGTTTTTTTCAATCGAAATATTTGCTCATTGGATTTGTTTCTGACAGTGTATTCTATTATTATTTTTTGCAGCTAACTTATATCATTTGGAACTAAAATGATAAAATATTCTATTACTATCCTCCGTTCCATAATTCTTGAAACAGTTTGACTTTCACGTTTGCCAATGCACAACTTTGACTGTAATTATATTTAATTGTGTATTAGTAGACATTATAAAAAGTTGATATTTTGGAAATTCGCATTAATAAGAGTTCAATAACATTTTATACGTAATAATTTGATTATGTATATTAGTAGAAAATCATGGTCAAAGTAAGATCTGTGAATAGTGTAAAAATCACAATGTTGCAAGAATTATGGAACGGAGGAAGTATTATTTTTTGCAGCTAACTTATATCATTTGGAACTAAAATGATAAAATATCAAGCTGGAGAAGATGTAAGCTAAGTCCTGTTCCGAGTTGTACACTACAATATATATTTTAACTCCTGAGATATTTTGTGATGTCTTTTAGATGCTAACTATAATTGTCATTTTAGGTGTATTATTTTAGGAAACTAACACCTAATATTTTAGGAAACTTACTTTAGGAAACTAAATAATAACCCGAGAAAACTAACACCCAATACTTTAGGAAACATACTTTAGGATACTAATGATAATAACGAATAGTAACAGTAATAATGAGCTTCTTCTTTCCATATCATTGCCATGTGGGTGATGTAATTTTAACTCCTCACATATTTTGTAATGTCTTTTAGATATTTTGTATTACTCCCTCCGTCCCAATTTGTTTTGCAAAGTCAACAAATTCTGGTCAACCAATAATAAAGTCAACCCTTCGTATGGATAATTAACTCAATTTTTAATAACTAAAATTTACATATTCAAAAACTACATTAAAACCTCTTCAAAGTTGTAAACTCCAAATTAGAACATAATTAAAAATTGACATCCTAATTAAGTGAACAAAACGAGACCGTTTGACTAAGAAAAGTCAAATTTGCATCTCTTTTTAAGACGGAGGTAGTATTATTTAATCACATGGTTTGTATACACATACTTGTGGGTCACTAGTTCCAAAATTTATTATTTAATCACATGCCTCCTGAATTTTTTATTTGAATAAGAGCAAGACTTTATCTGTGTTTTATGACGCATACACAGAGGCATCAACTTCGCCGTTCGAGATATCCGGAGTAGCAATCCATACGTTATTGTTCAATTGGGTAAACAGGTAAATCTAAAACGCCATTCTCTGTTTCATATGTGAGCCGTTTCTAGGTAAAACTAGATTGTAAATTTCAAGAATATAAGAAAAACAGGCAAGATCGATGTGTAGTGATCAACAATTTTGGTCTTCGATTTTTCTTTGAATTAATAATTATGTCAGCTAAATAAAGAAATTAGTATGGCTTGTTTTGGTTGGATTATTTTTGTGAAATAATTACCATGGATGTTTATTTTAGGAATAGACACGAGTTTTAATTATAAATAGATATTTTCCCCTAAATTATATTCGTAGTACTACATCAAATGTTTTTATTTGTGAAGCCACTATGAAGTGAAGTTAAAATTTTATGATTACATGACAAAAGAAATAAATGCTCACAAAAAGCTTCTTACCATTCTCATGCAAATAACTAGTGTTGCTTTTGGAGTTGACATTCATCATTTGATCAGCTAGACGGAGGGGAGCCATGACATGGACACTGCTCGCAAAGACATTAACTAGACAGCCGGCAGAGCACATCCACTTTACAATAGGCCCCTGATTTGATAATAAGTTAGTGTTGCTTTTGGAGTTGACATTCATCATTTGATCAGCTTAATCAGCACCGATGATAGTGACGACTCCGGATTTCGTTTGACCATACGAGAGCTGGTACTACATTAATACGGAGTATTTGGTAATGAGCATTATATATAGTTATATACTACGGAGTAGTATATAATATAAATGGAGAGATTAAGTTCGTAGAAGGAAGAAGATGACTAATGGTAGTATGGAGTGAATTATGTTCTAGGTTACAAGTCTCCCAAGGAGTATTTACAGAGAAACAATGGGCTGGACCACTAATATGGGCCCGATCAGCCCAACTATATATGTAAAATGTCTAATCCAGTACGTACAAATGAATGACTAATCTAGTGGGCCCGATCGGCCCACTAATGTATTTTAACTTCGTATATACTATCCTCCATTCCAAATAAAATGCAACATACTGCAGTGGCGGGACCAGACTATTTTTTTAGGGGAGGCGATAAAATATGTCAAGATCGTGAGTCAAAGTTAAGCCGAGTCAGAGTTATAGATAATTTACATACAAATTTTATAGAAACATAACTAATAAGATATAGGAAAAATTCCATAAACAAGAGTGAAAAAGTTTTGAAATTCCAAAATTAGATTGTCATATTTTTATCTCCTAAAATGAGTAATTTCTGCCAAGTTTGTCATTTTCATGCTTTAAACATGACAATTTTTTTCAAATTTGACTAAATTACTCCTATTTAGGAATTAAAAAATATGAGAGTCTCATTCCGAAATTTTAAAACATTTTTACATGCAATTTCTATAAAATATACTAGTATAGATTATGTATAAATTATGTGCATGTTATTGAAATACGTATGTATTAGTACTGTGTTACATTAAGTACATATATATTAAGAAATTTGTGTTTATTTATTCCAATACACATTAAGTAAAAAGAATGTAATTTGGTCATTATTAGTTAACAATTACTCCAAGGACTATTTTCAGTCTCGGACCAGATCAGACCAAACCAGAGCAAACCAGACCATACTTGGATAGTCATAAAAATACAAAGAGACCAGACATTACCAGTCCAGAATAGACTAGTTCGGACCAGATTAGACCAGATCGGATCAGTCCAAGTAAAAACATTTGAGTCCAACTATATAATTAATAATTAGAAATTACTCCAGTCATTACACCAACAAGTAGATGAACCAATAGGTAAAAAAATCAAGCTAGGGCGATTAATCTCCAGGAAGAAGTGGGTGAAAGAAATAAAACCAGGATGCACTGGCGTATCCAGAAAATTTGGTGAGTGGGGAAAACTCACCGAATTTTCTTCAATTAATTGGACTATCACTTATTATTTACACTAAAAAACATCATCTTAAATTAATTTAGATCCTAAATTTATGCTAAACATAAAGAAAGCTTCAAAGGGCAAACAATAAGTTAAAAAAGTGCAATGAAGGTTTCAAACCTGTGCCCACTTTATTTAAAGGGTGACACTCTATGAAGCACGGATACTTCCCTAGGGTAGCGTATCGGCGTATCCGATACGTTCCCGTATCCGATACTCTAGGATACCCGTACCGTACGTTCCCGGGCCGTATCTGCAATTCTTAAAAGTTTCCATTTTTTGTAATTTTTTGAAAGTTTCCGATACTCGTATCCTGACGGATACCCGTATCAACTTTTTTTTTTAAAAAATCCCAAAATTTACTTAATAAAATTCTAAAAAAAATGAAAATCTAAAACTACATTTTACTTAGTAATCAAATAATGGGCCTATATGGCTATATCCGAATTAATTCATTAACTCATACTCCGAATTGGGTACTTATTGACTACATTTATATTTCGAGATACACTAGTGTATATGAGAAATATTATGAATTTATTACTAAGTATCTTGAAAAAGGAAAATGTTTCAATGCAATGAATGGGTAGACATCATAGGATATTATATGTATGTATATATATATTCAAAAAAATCTATTTTTAATATTTATAAATAGATTAGACCTAGCTTGATTTTTTTAATGATCAAGTTAATGATCATTAACTTCATTAACTTCAAAATCTATGTATGTTTAGCTTCATTAACTCTCTGCATTTTGCAGCAAGTTAATGATTTTATCTCTGCATTTTTAATCCCTAAACACCATATATACATATAAACCTAAATGATTAAATCCCTAATCCATGTATGAGAAGAATGAGTGGAAGAACCACAAATTTGCAGATCATGCATTTTACATACCTTTAAAAGTTCTAGCCAACTGAAAAGATTATACCGCTTGATCAAGTCCCTACTTACTATTGAAGGCTGAATACAAAGGAAGATGATATGTGGGCAGAGCATATATATATATATGTGACATGTGAGCTACATGTTGAGAGAATGTGATAGGAAGAGAAGAGATGAAACTTTGAGATGTACCAGATAGAAATTGACGTATCAATCATATATACTCCGCATTTGATAGTTCTTTTTTTTTTAAATTGTTTGTATCCAAAAGAATTTAAAGTCACGGGTAGATAACATTCAAAAAAAAGGTCACGGGATGATAGATGCCAAGTGGTCACGGATTAACTCCTGTAATATGAGAGCATCTCCAATGGGGTAGTGGATTGGAGTAAAGTCTATCCTACGTGGCATAGGAGAGAGATAGAGATAGAATGATTATTTTAATTTAATATGGAGAAAGTGGTGTGTATGAAAAATGGAAAGGAAGAGAGAGATAGGAGTAAATTGTAGACAATGTGTATGACAATGTCCACAAATAGACTTTACACGGGAATCGAGGAGTAAAAGTGGATGAAAAGTGGGTTAAAAGTGATATAGAAAAATGAAAAACAAAATAAATGTGGAGATATGTAGGTCCTACACATAAAATTTGTGAGATAAAAAATGGGACCCGTGTGTAAGAATGTGGAAGGGAGTAGACATCCCCATTGGAGATGCTCTGAAGTGCATGCCGGAACAAAAGGATGTCTCATGGTCCCCTATTCATTTAAGAATTTTCAAAGAAAGAAAAAGTACCCTTCCATTCTCATCCTCCGAGATTATGAAAGCTGTGAGTACACTTCCTCACTTCTTTCTTTGAATCCCAAGAAAATTGAATGCCACTGATCTCTTACACGCTTATCAATCTTGGGAACTTTTTTTTGGAACATGACAAACTACTCTTTTTTTTTTCTTTAAAAAGTTAAAATATTTTCCTTTTTAGATTGGTTTTTGTAAAAAATATAGCAAATTAAATAAGTTTATATGAATTTTTTTGAAAAAAAAAATAGATTCGGTATGACATGTCTTAGTCTGGTCTTATAAACATATTATAGGGAGATTTACCTTAATAGGATCAAAACATGGCTTTTTTCTCAAAATAGGAGTACCTAGTTTAAACATCCTTAAATAGGACTTTTTATTAGTGATTGGACCAAAATACCCCTCACAACCTTTACCACTGCTGCCCAGGGACTGCCGGACCGCCGCCTGCCGCCTGCCGCCGCCGCCGCCGCCTGCCGCCGCCGCCGCCGCCGGAGCTCTGGCGACCGCCGCCGGAAAAATTCCAGATTTTTTTTCTGGAGGTTTGCCAACATTCTGCCGCCACCTGCCGCCGGCCGCCGCCGGCCGCCGCCGCCGCCGGCCGCCGCCGCCGGCGGCCGCCGCCGCCGCCGGCGGCCGCCGCCGCCGGAAACCGCCTCTTTCACTGCCGCCAACCTGCCGCCACCTCCGGACTGCCCCGCTACCAACGGACTGCCTTGGTTGTGCAAGAGAACTAGGGGGGGCAATTAATTGGGTTAATTAATTGCCGGAGTTGCCGCCGGAATCTGCCGCCGGAATCCGCCGCCGGCCGCTGCCGGAGTGCTGCCGCCACCACGGACTGCCCCGCCACCGACGGACTGCCTTGGTTGTGCAAGGAAACTAGGGGGGGGGCAATTATTTAGATTAATTAATTAATTAAATAGAATTAGGGGTAAAAAGGGTAAGGTTAGTCCTATTTAGAGAAAAACATGCATGTGATCCTATTTTGAGAAAAAGGTTGAGTTTTAGTCCTATCTTGGACAATTTTCTCCATATTATATGGTATAATCTATTTATGTGTGGTCTATTTAGGATGTTTTCTTTGGGACTGAAATTTGTTGGTCTTATCTGGTCTGGTCTAAACTGGTCTGGTAATGTCTGATCTCTATATATTTTATAACTGCTGAAGTCTGATCTGGTCTGGGACTGAAAACAGTCCAAAAGAAAACATCCTTAAATTCAATGATTAAATCCCTGATCCGTGTAGGAGAAGAATGAGTGGAAGAACCACTAATTTAATTTGCAGATCATGCATTTTACATACCTGATACCTCAAAAAGTTCTAGCTAGCTGAAAAGATTATACCGCTTGATCAAGTCCCTACTTACAAAGGAAGATGATATGTGGGCAGAACATATATATATATATATATGACATGTGAGCTGCATGTTGAGAGAATGTGATAGGAAGAGAAGAGATGAAACTTTTAGATGTACCAGATAGAAATTGACATATCAATCATATATACTCCGCATTTTTAAATTGTTTATATCCAAAAGAATTTAAAGTCACGGGTAGATAACATTAAAAAAAAGATCACGGGGAGATAGATGCCAAGTGGTCACGGAGTCTAATATGAGGTGCATGCCGCAACAAAAGGATGGTCCCTATTCATTTCATTTTTTTTTCAAGTTTGACTAGAGAAGCGGAGTCGGCGAAAGTGACAGAGGCCCAATAATTTGTCATCTTCATCTTCATTCTAATCCTTAAATTTCTTGCAAGTGATCTTGATTCCTTGTGGAAAGAAAGGAAGAGATAGGAAGCAGCTTGGAATGAGATGAATGGATAAAAGAACGGACGACTTGGGCAGAGATAGCATTGATGCGGTGGGTTGCCGTCGGATGCGGCCGGTTGCGACCAGGTGCGGCCCTGTTGCGGATTTGCATGGGCGGCCCTAGGAGGGTGCAAGGGCACCCTAGGCCCAAAAATATTGGACAAAAATAGGTCAAAGTTTAGTTTTTTGTAATATGTGTGACTAGGTTCATTTTCCATGCTACAATAACAATTTTTCGGGTGGAATTTGTTGAAGTTTTCTGAATGGTTTTTTTTTGTAAAAACTTATGATCATGTTCTCTATAAAGTGTAAATTATGTAAAAAAAAATCAGCTTAAAATTCAATTTAGAAGTCAGTTAAATAAATTATTGAAAAACACTGCGTTTGTATACATATTTTGGTGCATTGCTTTTCAGTAATTTATTTAACTGACTTCACTATTGAATTTTAAGCTGAAATTTTGTTGACATAATCTACACTTGATGAAAAACATTCTCTTAAAATTTCATAAAAATAATTCACTCGAAAGTCGATTAGTCTCATATGATTATTTGATTAGTTTATTAATCGATTCTATTCATAGTTGATGGTTTGATTTCTTAATTATTGATTGTTTTGTATTTGGTGTTATAATTTGTTGATTTTGTTAGACAAACATTTTCAATTATGATAAATATTATAGAAATAATTAATTTCAAGGTGTAATAAAAAGGATCGAATCTGAATAGGATAGATAAAAAAGAGGAGAAAGTTAGAGAAAACGACACTAAATAAAAAAAGTTCAATGGAAAAGTTTTGAATGTACTCTTCAAGATTAGAACTCATATAATAACAAAAATTTAGCTACTAAAAATGAAACGATTCAAAATGGTTACATTATTGGAGGGGGGATTTAGGAGGTGATAATAAGAGGAATGTTCAGGTCCGAACATTCCCCGTCCGAGCACCGTCCGAACATGGACGTTTGGGCCACTTCCCGGTGGAATTTTTTGATGAAATGTTTTGAGCATGTTCCTCATCAAGTCTAGTTTGTCCATACCAAATTTCAACTCAAAACTCGACCGGGAAGGCATTCAAATCATTTTTTGAAGTTGACTGCGTTTTTTATATGTATATTTGGACGCAGTCAGCTTCAACAAATTATTTGAATGCCTTCTCGATCGAACTTTGAGCTGAAATTTGGTATGGACAAATTAGACTTGATGAGGAACATGCTCAAAACATTTCATCAAAAAATTCCACCAGGAAGGGCCCCAAATGGGGATGTTCAGACGGTGTTCGGACCAGGAATGTTCGGACCTGAACATTCCTCGTGATAATAATAGAGTTATTTCCTTAAATATGACTTAATCATTGATAAAATGTACAAATAGGATCACCATTGTTTTCTTCCTAAATTATTATGCATGTCAGTTTAGATATAAAAGAGTTCTACAATTGTTTGTAACATTACGCCCATTTTAATTTTTTGCCCCTAGGCCTTCACACATACAGGGGCGCCCAGTTGCGGTTACGTTGCGGATTTGGCTGTGAAATGAAATCACAGAGTTGATGCGGGCTGATGTGGTTGCGAAACCTCCGGCAACCGCAATATTGCTGCCCCAAAAGGTGTTGCGGTCCGCTATTTGAAACCATGATGGTTGTCGTCCTGATCTCCTCCCATGGAGTCACGGGCCTAAGTATATGTGCCTATTTTTTTTCCTGAGGTGTGCCTAATGACGACGTCCTCTCCTCGGGGAGTCACGGACCGGGAGTTTCTTTAAGCACCCCTAATTTTACTTAGGATGTTTTTACTTGGACGGTAATTTGATGGTCTGATCTGGTCTGAATTGGTCTGGTCTGGTCTGGTAATGTCAGGTTTCTTTGTATTTTTATAACTATCCAACTGTGGTTTGGTCTGGTCTGGTCTGGTCTGATCTGATCTGGACTGATGTGGGACAGATTACAGTCCAAGTAAAAACGCCCTTAATGTAACCCTGATTAACTCTGGTACCCATTTAAAAATGAGGTACCGTACCTACCATTCACTTGATTGATGCAAATAGGTATATCATTTTTAAAACTTAAATAATTCAACTGTAACATTCTGATTGGTCTATGTGGACAAAGGTATGATGCCTTTTGGGTACCATAGAATCTACTTTGGAACAATATGCCCTCTTGAACATATTCCTTAATTAGCATTGTCCTCTTGCACGGTTCACGCCTTCATTACATCATACACGGATAAGTTTGAAACTTTGAAAGCCTTCAAAATTGGTTCTCAATACAATAGTTTGCTGGAACGTGTCAAATACTTTTATTTATAGAATGAAAACTTTTTCATTTTATTTTGATTTTAATCAAAGTATATGAACCTATGTATTTTTCTGAGCTTTCATATATGATACTGATACCAGTATTGGATATGTACGATTTTGAAAATAATATTACCTCTGTCCCAAAAAATTGATTAATTTGACTTTTCTTGGTCAATGGTGTTAAACTTTGGACAATGATTTTAGATATTATATTTATGAGTAATTTTTGAATTTTATACTTTTATGAAAGAGTTTTTAATAAAGACTAAGCTCAGATAATTTCATATTTCAAATAATTTTGTATTAAAAGATATCATTGGTCAAAGTTGATCATCGTTGATCTATGTAAGTCTAGTATGGTGTAAGTCTGATCTGATAAAAATCTATTCTATTTATATATACTACTCCCTCCGATTTTATTTAATCTTCACACTTTGACTTCACACAAAATAAGGAAAGAAATTTGATTTTACTGTAGAGTACACTGTTGAGGCACTGTTTGGCACTATAGAGACACTGTTTGGCACTGTTGAGACACTGTTTGGCATACGTGTCTCTCATTCCTATTTCCTCTCCGTTGCTATTCTAACGCCACGTGGCCGCCTATAATTTTTTTGCATGATGGCATTGTTCATGCTCACGAATCACGATTATATTTTTTATTTTTATTATTACAAAAAAAGGGTGCTGTCTCTTTCCATCTTTATCTTCTGCAGTTCTGCGCATTCATCTCCCTGGCGATGTTAACGCATCACACTCCTTCCCTACGCGTATTGTTCTCAACTTCCCTACGCATCACACTTACAGGATATCAAGTTTCCGCTACAACAACAACCTCAACGGATCGCCAAACCTTCAAAGGGTGTTTCCTATTATGGTCTTACTCTCACATACATGTTTTTGGTAACAATGGTAAGCACTGAAACTTTGCATTCTTTGTTCATTTTTATTTTATTTAAATTCAGATTCTGTGTGCTCGGTTATGAATCGTGCATCCAGTTTAGATCTTGCATGTGTTCTGTTTGATGAAAGGTTTAAATGATATTTCCAGAAAGTGTAATAGCAAGAAGTGTATCTTTCTTGAACTCTATTAAGTGAAATCCTAGAATATGAATCGTATAACCAAGGTTTTAAATAGCCGTAGCGGCAGCGGTAGCGGTCATCGCGGTAGCGGCCTGTAGCGGCCTACAGCCGACTATAGCGGTTGCAGTGGCGTGAAATATTTTCAATTGCACAAAACATAAATGTATTTTTTCGCATCATTCACACAACATTTAATTTTGAGTTTCACTCCATGCATCACCATTGTAGGGTGTGTTTCGGAAAATAAAGAAAATTAATTAAAATAAATTAATTAAATAAATGACAAGAGAAAAACAAGAAAGGAGATGAAGCAGAATTAGTCAAAGCTCGTGCTACGCACGATGTCCTTAAAACGTACTTGTTGCCTCCCACGGTGCTAGGAGCGTTGCAACAAGCGTTTCCCAGGATACGATGACTACGAACTAATGTTTGAGCACACAAACAAAAATTCCAGTGAACGAGAACACAGTATGAACACAGAGGGAATTTTTCAGAATGCTAGCAGTGTGTTTTTAGAGGTGCAAAAGGTGGTTGGAGTGTATGAATTCGTGTAAAAACCGTGTGTTGTTGCAAACCACCTGCCAGCCATTGTATAGGAGGATTTGTTGTGTGTAAATGGTGAATTAATGGACCTAAACGTTGGACATCAATGACCAGTCCGTTGGGTATTGAATCGTCCATGAACTGTCCATTTAACGCTGCATTAAAAGATAAGAATGTTGGGCATTAATCGTTGTAACGTTTCAGAAGCGCGACAGAAGACCTCCACCAGAACACCCCGGGAGGGGTTCTGATCGGAGGCCAATCAGAAGACCCCTAGAGGGGTTCTGTCACGAGGCCACCAACGAGGTGTTCTGATCCGTAGGCTTCTGCCCGAGCACTTCTGCCGCTGGGAAAAAATTAAACGTTTCGGGAAGAAAACAAAAATTAATCGTATCTCTTGAGAGATAGATTTTGGGACGACATTCGTGTCCACAGGTCGCCCGCGCACGCAAGTCGCGGTTTTCTTCTCCGAATTCGGGATTTGATTTGCACCCCTGTGCGCGCGTGGAGAGAGCCTTTACCCTTAGGAATCTTAACTCCTTAAGGGGGGAGTCCCTTTATAAAGGGTTGCAAATCCCTTGGGTTTTCCGGTGTGGGAAATTAACACACTAGAAACCCATCCTTTTTCCCTTCTAACGGGTAAACTTCGAAAAACGATTTCTCATTCACCCGTTATCCGTTTTGAGCGTACCATATATCGAATTGTAGCCCTAAGCAAGGACAATCCGAAACCACTTTGACCCGACCCAAATCGGAAGTGGACCCCACTCAAAAAAATGCCCCAAAATAGCCATTTAATGCAATTTTTCGCACATTTTCCAACAACCATTAATGTATTTTTTCACATCATTCACACAACATTTACACATTTACACATCAAACAGTTCGTGATGTACTGCCGAAAAGGTCAATAGCGGGCTGTAGCGGGCGGCGTAGCGGATTTTTCTCGTGATTTGGAAATCACACACGAATAGCGGGCCGTAGCGGTAGCGGCCCCTACCGCGACCGCTATATAGCGGCCGCTATAGCGGTAGCGGACCGCTATTTCAAACCATGCATATAACCTGTTTGTGTTAGGGTAAACGAAAGTCTGTTTATCACACAAGCGTTTGTTTACTCACGTAAAAAGTAAACATATGAAAGCTTTCCATGTTTATCTTCTCAACTCAAAAAGTTTTAAGCCTGACTTTCCTCATCTCCCTCACCGACAGGAGAGCACACCTTCTCCCTAAATCATGGCCTGCGAAATTGAGCAATACTAACGCTGTGCTCTAACAGTTTAGGTACGGCGTACGCTGCCTCTTCTCCTTATTCCATGTTCTTTCCATTATTGATGAATTTATTTCTCAGATTTTTCATGAGTTTTAGGTGATATAAGATGTTTGATGAAATGTTTACATGAGAAA